TGGGGTGGGGTGGGGTGGGGTGGGGGGCTGGCATGGAGGAGGAATCCAGCTAATGGGCCCAGCGCCTTTCTTCCTCTGCCAGCTGCTATCGATCCAGCTCGGCCCCCAGGGCCCAGATCGCAGCTTCTGAGAAACGCGAGACCGGCTAATGGCAGGCCGAGATAAAAGTCTGGTTGCTCTTCATCCCTCCCTCTGTGGCAACGCAGCTCATCTGGTGGGGGAGTTGGAGGAAAAAGCAAAGCTGCGCCCCGCTTATCCGCCAGGCGTGATGGACTGCAAATCCCAGAATCCACACTCCTGGGTGGGAATGATGGGGGCTGCAATGCTGTGCCAAAGGAGGAAAAGCTAATCTGAAGCCGAGAGAGGGGGGTGTTCTGCTGATGCTCAGACCCTCCCTCATTTACGGAGTGACACCACCATCACCAGCTGAATGTCAGAAACCAGAGAAATGGTTCGTTTACACTTGTGGGAACCAAACCCACAGCCAGGGCTGCACGGATTTCCCCCTGCTCTTGGAACCGTTTATGCCAGCCTTCCCCAACCTGTGATGGGATGGCAATGCCCAGAATGCCCCAACCAATCTTTTGCATGGCAGGGCTGGGGGGCTGCTAATGGCTGGCCCGTGGCAGGGATGGTGAAAGTCCTAGAATTCTAGAGGTGGAAGGGGTCTTGAGGTCATCTAGTCCAGTCCCCGACTCAATGTAGCAATCCAAATTAAAACGTCCCAGACTGGGGGATTTTGGGCTTCCACTTGAACAGATGCAATGCAAGGGAAGCCCCCCCGTCATCCCTGTGGATCAGGGATTCCACAGTTGAACAACGCAGCCCATGAACTGTGGCACCATTATAACAAGATAGGGAGATAGAGAGATAGAGAGATGATAAACAGAAGATGATTGATAGATGGATAGATAGATAGATAGATAGATAGATAGATAGATAGATAGATAGATAGATAGATAGATAATAGGTAAAAGATGGATGGATAGATAGATGATGGATGGATAGCTTTATTACTCTAAAGCCCTGGAGTCTTGAAAGTTGAGCAGCATGTAAATACATTAACTCAGTGTTGTCCAAACTTGGCCACTTTAAGATGAGTGGACCAACTCCCAGAATTCCCCAGCCAGCATG